AAAATGGATGCAGATCGAACTAGATCTCATCTGTCGAATTAGGAACTGGTTTGGAACTAAAGAAAAGGGGATGCAGAACGAACTAGATTTCATCTGTTGATTTGTAACTTGTTCGGAACTATAGAAAATGGGGTGCAAAACGAACTAGATCTTATCTGTCGAATTTAGAACTGGTTCGGAACTAGAGCCAAAGGGATGCAACGGGGGACAATTGACACTTCCTAGGACATCGCAATGTTAAATTCGCCAGTCGCTAGCATGCAAAAGAGAATTAACGCGTACTAGTCATGGTTCCAAACGCACTAGAACCGAACCAGTTCCGCACTAGTTCGTTTCCCTACAGGGTATATACATATATCTTTTGAGATGGGGACATTCTGCGTACTGGAATATTGTTTCCGAGAAAAGGCAGCTGCACTGCCAAGTGCGGTTTCTGTACCTTCGTCAATACTATTTATTTATGTATATGTGTAAATAGCAGTAAATAGTTATTCACAAAAAAAAATTGGTTTAATGACTACTTTATTTGCTAAAATCGAGAAAATCAGGAAATTTCTAGTGCAACTCGCATAAATTCTGAAAAAAAAATATTGAAAATATTGAAAAACACCCTATCACAGCATTTGGTTGAAGAACGCCCTATCACAGAATTCGGTTCCAAACCAAAGCCGTTTATTTGTTTATTACATTATGGTTTATCTTACTTTGCATTGGACTTTTGTTTTAGGAATGTGCTTATAATTTTAATATTAAATGAGGAGAACGTAAAAGAATTACAGCTTTTTTGGCACTTTTATTTTTCTATTTCGCACATTTTGGCACTGATTTATCCTCAATATGGCACTTCATAGCTAAGTATAGTTGGCAACCCTGATCGTACTAACTGAAATTTTTTCGTCTGCGCGATAGTAGAAGTACCTATGAATGTACACTTTTAAGATGCATGCATATGAATTATGCGTGGCTTTTATTGTATCTCTGTATTTCCATAACTCCCTGTGTGAGGAAACCAAATAATGTAATTCTTAACCGAAGTGCTTAAAACTTAGCAGTTTGGCAATTTAAACACCGTTGAAGTTGAATTCCGGTATTTCTCTTACTAGCGTCTGCAACTATACTTTTTATTTACTACCGCCGGCAGCTTTAACAATTTTATAGTGGTTTTACGTTCTTTGGCAAATTACGCACTGTTAGCCATAAATTTTACTATGTTTTGACCGCCTTTGTATCAAGACCCCTATGGTCTATAGGGAATTCATTTATGTATATTAATTGTCACCGTGATTGGAACTATGCTGAAAATGTCAAGTCTCTACCTTGTCGGGGAGTTAGTTTAAAATCGATTTGAAATTTCCGCGGGATGACCAAGTTAAATAAAAGCTTGTAATAAAATATATAATGTAAAAAAAATATTTTTTAAAAACAAGCTTTTATTTAACATGTATAATCAAAGGAATAAAATAAAATAGTGTAACAAAAGTTTTTTTAGCAAACGATTTTTAATACTGCACTAAAATGAATAAAATAACCTAAGTTAAGCTTTCGTCAAAGTTACTAGACGTCATTATGGGCATTGCAGCTCCGGTTTGTGTTAACCGGATATTGAACGCCCCTTAGTCAATTGTTGTCGTTTGACAGCGTGAAACTCTCTGCAGTGCACTTGCGATTCGGTTTCAGCGTTCTACGCAAAAATTTGTTAATCAAATAATTTGGTGTTAAAGACATAAATCTGAAAAGTGCTCTAGCAACGTTACAAAAATTTTAATTTCCCGCGTATTCGTTTTAAGAGCGTACATATGTACATTTGTACTGATATACAAATCGGCGATGTTTTTGAAAAACCGCCCATCGACCAATTGCGCAACCGCCTATTTTAGGCACTCAAATTTTTTATTAGAGTGAAAAAACGGCTTTTATTTGAAGGCATAGCATTGATAGGTGGTATTTTCTCTAGCTATTATTTTGGAAATCTGTTGTTTTAGTAACGATTTTGCGATTCTTAAGCTGATGTCAGATAAAACTTTAGCTTCGCGTTGCGCGACAGATTGGCTTTGACAGATTAGATGAAAACTACGAGCTTGTACAAAACATGTCACATAAAACATTCACGACGCAGCGCGAAGGAAAAGATGGGCAACTCTCATCTTTTTGTGCGCTTTGACAATCAGCTGATTTAATTTCTTTTATTTGCCAATTTCGCGCGTCTGAGTAGCGTGGGTTATAATTTATCTGCAATTAAATTAAAATATAAAACCAGAGTGATATCGGAGTAATCGAATTTCGCCTCTTTTGTGCATAAAATAATATATACTGCCCATTTGTACGATTATTTAAACTCCCGGAGAAACTAGCCATATAATCTGTAATGTGCAATTTCTTAAATAAATACTTTTAATTAAACTTCTTACAGTTTCAGCAATCAAGTAATGGAATAAAGACTTATAGAGTCAATAAAAACGCACCCATGTCTATTCGACAAAAGTTCAGCAATATTTAGGAACAAATTTTTAAAGGATAGAGCGTGGCAAGCAGTAGCGGCTTCCACAGGAGCGTCGGGTAATTTATTTTTTCAGTCTCCGGTCTTGTTTTCTATTGCTTTTCTTTTACATCAGATTAACACTATAGAAGCAGATGGAAATCGCTGAGCGACCGTTTCGTTCGTGAAATTTCATCCAGTAAGCCGAAGTCGGGAGCCGCTACTGAAGAGAAGATGGAATGGTGCTATATGGAGGCAATGCGATTCATGTCAAAGCACGTTGCACCTAGAAAGTAAGCTAAATGTATTAATTGGCCAGTAGTGTATGCTACATTCTAAATCTTTCCCATTTCAATTGTAGAACCATCTCTAATTTTCAATGGCTTAGTGACGACCAACCGTCAAGTAGTAATGCACCCCAAAATGAAGATGTACAAGAGAACGAAGATATGGGTTTGAACGATAGCCAGTGCAGTGAATAGTGTTCGTCCGATACCACCATGTACTCAATACCAGTACTCATTTTAGAGCATCGAAGGGGGTACTCGATGCTACTCAAAGTATCGCTAGAAAATACTCGATTCTACTTGTACTCAAAAGTACTCGGACGAAATATTTCAAAACAGTTTTGCAATCTTTTTTAAATAAATAAAACCATTTTTCATGTGTTACAAAGATATAATTTAATGCAAAAAGGCTTTTTAGTATGAAAATATATGCTTATGTATGCTTGCACATACATATATTACATATATGTATTTAATATATTGCGTATGCTTGCATATGTACATAACGCCAAGTAAAAATTTAAACTTAGACCAGTGAACTTATATATTTTAAAGTATAGTTAAATCATTAAACTTAACTACAGAAATTTATATGGAATTTTCTGTAGTGAACTTATATTAATGATTTAACTATACTTTAAAATATATAAGATAACGGCCCTTAGTCGCATATTGTGCGTGCCTTGATTTTTTCTTAAATATTCACAATATTTTTTCGTGTTAAATATTTCTCGTTAATTTTTTCTTTAAGATGAATCATATTCTTATAATAAAAACCTTAACTTATGTTGAAATATGAGCCATATTTAAATAAAAATCAACGAAAAATATTTAACACGAAAAAATATTGTGAGTACTTAAGAAAAAATCAGGGCACGCACAATTATGCGACTACCATAGTTTCAATATCAAAATTTTCAATGCTGCATGTGCACAAAATATGCATATTCTGTTCCATGTGATATGAGAAAGACTTTTAATGTTATGTTCCACACTAAGGAACTTTAAACAAACCAGTTTTGTTAAGCATTAATCTTTTAAAGATATATTTGAATTATTACACTTGTTTTTGTTATTTAAATTAAGGCAAGGAGAATTTGTTTCGTTTAATTTTCGCATTTTCCTCTTAAAACTTTAATGAAAACTAAGCAATTTCGAAAGTTACAAACAAAGAAACAAATTCTTTCATAACTTCTTCTGAAGATTTCTTATTCTTGAAGAATATAAACTTGTTTTGTTTTTTTAGCAATAGTATACAGATATACCTAAGTACGTATATACACTTGGGGCCGTTAACTTAGCTATTTCAAAGTATAGTTAAATCATTATAGATAAGTTTAACGAAAGATTTAACTATACTTTAAAAAAGATAAGTTAACGGCCCTTAGTAGAATAACTCGGCGAGTTATTCTAAGTTTATTTAGTATGCATATTAACTGAATATGTATTTATTTGAAAACCAGAAAATAAAATGAATTCATAATAAAAAAAGCTCTAAATAAGAGTATAAAAATACAGAAAATTCAAATTTATTACTCATTCAATCACATTTTCCTCAGTTACAATAAAACTAAATACATACAGTGACTCAAAAAAATGACCACGTGTTGATTTTCTTCATATATTCGAAATGTTTTTCGAGCTAAATTTTTTATTTTTATTTTTATATAAAAATATCGTCTAAGCTTTCACCAAACCCGTGTAAATCACAGTTTCAAACTTTATACAAAATTTAGAAAAATTCAACAAATTTTCATAAAAATTTCAACTTTTTATTCTAATTTTTTATAAAACTTTTGGGTATGCAGTTTTATATCCCATCCAATTTTAGTTTAATGAAGTGCAAGTTTTAAACGGCTAAAAAATCGCGTTGATTTTTGAGAAGCTACTTTTTCGGGCTTGTTATATTAAAAAACCGAAAAAGTAGTAACATAAATGGAATCTGTTAAAATTTTTTTTTATAATGGGTAAATTTTGCGGTTTTATACAACTCCGAAAAAAGAATCTGCTTAATTAATTATAAAGGGTCTGCAAACCGACCTTGTTACTCAGCAAGTCGGTGTTCGGTAACTTCTCCCATGTATTTTGTTTGTGTATTGTATTTTACACAAATAAGATACATGGGAAAAATTACCGAACACCGAGTTACCGAGTACCAACCAACAAAAAGTTTTTGACAAATTTTACAGCAGTATTTTTACTAGAACTACATACAATGTAGTACAATGTACAATCGGGTATAGTCGTGGAGTGCAATGGGGTATAGTCGATGCGCTGGGTATCCAGTTACAGTTGAATGGCTAGACTTAATCCCGACTCTTGCGTCCTCGTTCGCGCACTCTGGGCAACGTGAGTAACCCATGTGCGAGATGCGGTAACCAATCCGAGTGGAGCCTTGGGTCACGGCAGAAAGAGAGGGAGCTTCGGTGAGGCCGCTTCGACTTATTCGGTTTAAGGGCTTACTGAAGTCTGCAGCGTCTGTTCACCAGTAGGTGCGGCTGCAAGCGGGTGTCTGCTTGGAGCAAGCGGCTCGCTATATAAACGTGTATTTGGTTGCGAAACCACCCCCGTCCCAGCAATGGGTTGTGCGCTGGGCTTGGGACCCGCCACGTAAAAACCACTTCCAGTGAAGAAGCAAGGCCAAGCCTCGGATGAGACCCCCAGCAAACGCCCCCCCTCCCCCCCTTATGATGACGACCACGGCAAACGTTTAAAGGACTACGATTTGAGGGCATGCACCTGGAATGTCCATAGCCTTAATGGGGAAGGTGCCTCTGCCCGGCTGGTTGATGTCCTCGTAAGGACAAAAGCTAACATCACCGCCATCTAAGAAATGCGTTGGACGGGGCAAGGCAAGCAATGTCTAGGGCCTTGCGACGTCTACTACAGCTGCCATGTAAAGGAGCGCAAATTCGGAGTTGGATTTGTGGTGGGAGAGAGACTCCGTCGCCGAGTACTGTCGTTCACCCCGGTGGACGAGCGTCTAGCCACAATCCGCATCAAAGCGAGATTCTTCAACATCTCGCTCATCTGCGCCCATGCCCCGATGGAAGAGAAGGATGAGGCATCCAATGACCTCTTCTATGAACGCTTGGATCGCACGTACGAGCGCTGCCCCCGTCGTGATATCAAAATCGTGCTTGGCGACTTTAGTGCCAAGGTGGGCAAGGAAGGGATCTTTGGAACCACCGTCGGAAAATTCAGCCTCCACGACGAAACCGCCGACAACGGATTGAGGCTGATTNTGGAACCACCGTCGGAAAATTCAGCCTCCACGACGAAACGTCCGACAACGGATTGAGGCTGATCGACTTCGCCGGGGCCCGAAACATGGTAGTATGCAGTACTAGGTTCAAGCATAAAAAGATCCATCAAGCTACCTGGCTGTCTCCGGATCGAAAAACGAGAAACCAAATCGATCATGTTGTGATAGACGGAAGGCACGCTTCCAGTGTTTTAGACGTACGCACACTCCGAGGCCCAAACATCGACTCGGACCACTATCTTGTTGCAGCCATGATACGCACCCACCTCTGTGCAGCAAAAAATGTGCGCCTNTACGCACCCGCCTCTGTGCAGCAAAAAATGTGCGCCCAAATATGCAAGGAAAGCTTAACGTCGAAAAGCTGCAATCACAACAGACAGCCAGCGCTTTCGCTACTCGACTCTCACACCTGCTCTCAGAGAGCACTCTTCAACAAACCGACATATGCGAGCAGTGGAACACCATTTCCCGCTCATTAAGTACCGCCGCCGAAGAAGTAATCGGATTTCAGCGAGCCCGAAACAACAACTGGTACGATGAGGAGTGCCAGGAAGCTGCTGAGAAAAAAGATGCCGCCTACAGGGCCACCCTTCGATCGGGCGCAACGCGTGCTATGTGGGACCGCTATAGGGATCTGAAGAGGAAAGCGAGACATATTTGCCGCAATAAGAAGAGAGAGGCCGAAATAAGTGAGTGCGAAGAGCTTGAAATGCTGGCCGACAGGAAGAATGCCCGAAAATTTTACCAGAGAGTTAGGCGACTTACGGAAGGTTTAAAGACCGGGGCGCACTCCTGTAAGAACAATAATGGCGACCTAGTAACTGATGTCCAGAGCGTACTTAAATTATGGAGGGAACACTTTTTCGCCCTACTAAATGGTAGCAGCACGGAAAGTTGTGGAGAAGAAGAACCCGACCCCGCAGTCGATGATGACGGGGTCGACATTCCACCGCCTGACTATGACGAGGTACGTATAGCAATAACGCGGCTGAAAAACAACAAAGCTGATGGAGCTGACAGCCTGCCAGCTGAGCTATTCAAGTACGGCAGCGAGGAGTTGATAAGGTGCATGCATCAACTCTTGTGCAGAATATGGTCAGACTAACGCATGCCCGACGACTGGACTTTAAGTGTGCTCTGCCCAATCCACAAGAAAGGTGACCCCGCCATTCGCGCCAACTACCGCGGGATCAGCCTTCTAAGCATAGGTTACAAGGTCTTATCGAGCGTATTGTGTGAAAGACTGAAGCCCACCGTCAATGAACTGATTGGGCCTTATCAGTGTGGCTTTAGACCTGGCAAATCCACCATAGACCAGGTATTCACAATACGCCAAATCTTGGAAAAGACCCGCGAGAAAAGGATCGACACTCACCACCTATTTGTCGACTTTAAAGTCTCTTTTGACAGCACTAAAAGGAGTTGCCTATACGCCGCT